AAACCGCAGGCCCCCCTGCACTCGTCCACACCCTTCTCCGATTCGTCCCCCTTCTTTTCCCTCCTTGATTTGCAGCTCCTCTCCTTTCTCCCCTTTCTCCTTGGTCCCCTTTTCCCCTTAAGATGGCCGATCCTTTCATCCCAAAAAAGGGTTTGGGCCACTTCTACCAATAATTTCCACAATCTATAGTTTCACAACTTCAAAAGTCCGTAACTATACCGTTATAATTCGAACTCGCAAACGACTTTCTCCTATGCGCTCATGGCTTCGAGACCTATTCGAAAACGTTACTTGTGACCTCAAAAGGTTAATGAGTAAATAATAACTTTCCAAACTTCACTCTTTGTAACTAGTTTATTTGAAATCTAATTTCAAATAAACTAATATAAATTCTCGAAAAATAATATAAAATCTCAATAATACAAATATGTAGATTATAATAGTGAAATCTGGAAATGGGATTTCACATGCTTGTTCTCTAAATGAACTTTGGATTTAGGCATCACAATCAGTAGCTGAATCACCTAGAAGCACCAAGCAGAGAAAGACCAAGCAATCCACTAACTGAATCATCCAAAGGCACCAGCACAGAAATACCAACCAACCCAGCCACAACCATGTTTTTTGCACAGATGGTTGTTTTTTGTATAGGAATTGTAAAGTTTGAACAAGTTTTATGCATCCAATAGGTCTTTTGTGAATTGAATGGATGATGTAGCAGATTTTATGAATTCAGTAGGTTTTGTAATGTTGGTTGGAGATGCCAGATGAATTCTGTTAGTTTTTTGAACAGGTTTAACAATTTATGGATAAGTAAGCAGGTTTTATACTTAATTTGGTCTATTTCATATTTTTCTTTGCAAATGATGAGTAGTTTGTGCTTGAATACACTTGTTTTGTTGTTGTTGTGGTTATATCATTATTTTTGGGTGAGATTTTTCAAATTTGAGGTCAAGGATGATATAGTATGTGCTTAAGGATGATAATCTGTGCTTAAAATGGTATATCATAGGGTTTTTTTTTTTGGGCGGGAAAATTCAAAATTCAAATTACCAAAAAGAAAAAACCAAATATATTTTCTGACGTGGATGCCATTTGGCGGGAAAACATTGGGTGTGGTGCCACGTGGAATCCATCTGGGCGAGGAACTGGGCCCCAAATCATGCCATATCAACATTTAACAGACCAATTCACGGACAAGCTAACGGAGGTATATCATTGGACCAAACTCTAAAGATGAGGTATGACATTGTCAATTTTAAAAGATGAGGTATGAAAGTGTCATGACGCCAATAATTGAGGTAGTTTTTTGTACTTTACCCTTATTTTTATATAGATAAGTTTTGGTATATAAAATTAGTTTGATTAATTATTTTTTTTTGAACAATAAATTAGTTTGATTAATTAGTATAAAATAATTTATTTATATAAGGGCAATTTAGTAATCAAGCTAGTTTTAATTTTGATTCCAGTGAATTATATGGAACCAACATCATTCTTTTTCGATTCCAAACAGTTTTAGTAAACAACTTCAACAGGAATCTGATTGTGTTTCTACCTCATTCCAATTCTTTTTCAACCCAATTCCTCCTCAATTTAATTCTTCTTAACCTGATTATGGATGAGTAAACGCGTCCTCAAACAGATACAAACACTACTCTACATTTACATTCCAGATGATATTTTTGAATTTTGTCTTTTCTTTAATGAATAAGAGCGGGAAAAATCAAATTTGGAAGAAAAAGAGTTTCACTTTTTCTTATTAGTTTTGTTTCGTATCCTTCGACTTGTATCTTGTGGTGGAACTTGCCACGTGTCCTTTTGATATGGTGGTAGTTGAACCAGTGACACATTTAATATCCAACTTACTCCCGCCGACATTTTCCCACCTCCATTAAACCCTCGTAAATCCCCCAAAACCTCCACAACCACCATGCTCACCCTCACTTCTCTCCTCCTGCGCCCCGCCCGCCACTTCGTCAAACCCCTATCCACCAGAACCGCCTCCACCGCCACCACTCCTCCGCCTCCTCTCACCGTCCCCCTCTCTCACCCCATATACCTCGTATGGTCCGCCAACACCTCCCTCGGCAAAACCCTAGTCTCCACCGGCCTCGCCGCCTCCTCTCTCCTCTCCAGTCGCCACCCCCGCCGCCGCTCTTTCCTCTATCTCAAGCCCATCCAAACCGGCTACCCGGCCGACTCCGACTCCCATTTCGTCTTCTCCAAACTCACCTCCCTCGCCCCCCGCCGCTCTCCCCACCTCTCTCTCCTCGCCTCCAATCACGTTCTCAAGGCCTCTGCCTCCGCCGCCAGCTCCATCTTAGCCCCCCAAATTCTGCCAAATCACGGAAAGGGCATGTGTGATTTGGACTGGTGTGAAGAGAGCAGGGTTGATGGTGGCAACTCTGGGAATGCACCAAATTCGGAGCTGGTTTGTAAGACAATGTACGCTTGGGGAGACCCTGTCTCACCGCACTTAGCGGCTGAGAGAGAAAGCGGTGCGGTGGAGGACTCGACCTTGCTCGAATTGCTGCAGAGGTGTTTGGACATTGGGGTTGGAAAGGAGAAAATGGATTCTTTCTGTGTGGTTGAGACCGCTGGTGGGGTTGCTAGTCCAGGGCCTTCTGGATCGCTTCAATGTGACTTGTACAGGTACTTCAAATTCGTAGTTGATAACATATGCTCTGTATATCCTTGTTATTGTTATTCTTAATCAGTCAAATCATAAATGTGAGAACTTGGTGCATGTTTGCAGACCTTTCCGTTTACCTGCAATTCTTGTTGGAGATGGACGGCTTGGTGGTATTTCCGGAACCATTTCAGCTTATGAAACTTTGAAACTCAGAGGTTATGATGTTGTTGCTGTTGTTCTTGAGGATCATGGCCTTGTAAATGAGGTTCCGTTAGCATCATATTTTCGAAACAGGTAATCTGATTTTTTTTTTTTTTTTTTTTTTATAGTGGCTATATACTGGTCTGTATGTACCTATATGTCAATATGTGGACATAATACGCAAACATGGCTCGCATATTTGCATTTCATTGTCTTTGAACGGATATGATAATTATGTTTTTGATGTCAGTCGTGTTTAATATCCTTCTACTCATGTAAAAATCCAGATATGGTAACTGTTATAATTTTTTTTAGTGTTCCAGTACTTGTGCTGCCGCCTATTCCACAAGACTTGTCAGATGACCTTGTGGAATGGTATGACGATACTCAGAATGTATTTGATTCGCTGATGGAAATAATGCTATTAGCCCACTCTGAACGAATCAAGAGATTGCATAACATGCCGAAAAGGGCTGTAGATGTTTTTTGGTGGCCATTTACTCAGCACACATTTATACCAGAAGGAGATGTTACAGTGATTGATTCACGCTGTGGTGAAAACTTTTCAGTCTTCAAGGTTTGTGTATGTGGCTTCACAAATTACCAATGAAGGCAGAATATGTCATGCTTGACTGTTTGTTGTTTCTTCCTAGGTGATAATTATAATCAACTCTTTCCTAGCATGCCTACCTAACTTTTGTTTTATTTCATCTTAGGCTCGGAATGATGATGTTATGATTCAACAATTTGACGCATGTGCAAGTTGGTGGACTCAGGGACCCGATGCTACTTTACAGGTCATCTTTATAAATATCTTTCTGTTAAACGTTTTCATTGGGACTCGATTTCAATCTAGATAATTGGTGGTCAGACTTTGACATAGCTCACAATCATCGTGCAAATTTATAATTTCCAAATCCTTGATTGTGTCATTCCTGGAATGGATGCCTATGATAGTATGCATCTTGTATGTTTATTATACTGTTGCCCATTTGCATCGTTGTTGATTCATTCACTGTCTTTTTGCTTAGACTATTTATAATGTTGTCCATTCGCACCTTTTGGTCTATCCAACTGGTGTTGAACCCTCTCATTGAGAGCAGAGATTTTCTGTTATTAGTTTTTGGCTTCCATATGGATGGTCAGGACAAAGACTGTTCCCCCTGTGTTCACACTTTTCAATCTTTCTTGGGTTTTTTTTCGTTTCTTTGTGTTTTTAGTTTTGGAAGTTATATCTCATCGACACTGATTGTGCCTCCCGGTTGTTTCAATAAATTTATTAATAGAAGTACCAAACAATAATATGGAATGCCTGAAGTTTTTTAATCTGGTTTTTGTTTAGGTGGTTTCAGACTGAGCTTGCAAGGGATATGGGTTATGCAGCTGCAAGATTTGGGCATGTGATGTTTCCTGAGAATGTTTATGAGCCAGCCTTAGAATGTGCTGAACTTTTGCTTGAAGGTGTTGGAAAAGGTTGTTACGGTGTCGCTTTTATTCCTTTTATTTCTTTTCTTGTACGCTGTTTTCTGTATTCTTAAAACATACTTGTTCTAACTTTTCAGTGCTTTATTATTTGGGTAATGAATCTTTTATTTGAGTATTATTTGTGGTACATGCGGAATCAAAGTTTGTTTTAAAATATCTTAAATATGTCATCTATATTCTATCTATTTTCCTTATTTTTTCTACATTTGCCTATATGTGACTGATGACCATTTATGCAGGTTGGGCTTCTCGAACATATTTTTCGGATAATGGATCGACAGCAATTGAGATTGCATTGAAGATGGCGTTCCGTAAATTCTCTTATGATCATGGAATTCTTTTAGATCATCTCAAGGATAACTCAGCTGAGAGACATCCGGAGCTTGTGGTGGGTCACATTAATTCTTCTCTTCATCTACATAACCACTGTCTTTATCAGAGTAGACAAGTACTTCTAATGTGTGATTTCTAACTTGATAAAAGCTCTGTTCCCTGAAACCAGTAAAAGAAACAGTTCTGTTGGTTAAAAAAGTCCTAAGCTTCTCTGCCTGGCGCACATGGTTATTCAACCTTTGTATCTGTACTGAAAAACTAATAATCTATTAACACAGTTGTAAAATAACATACTCCAATTCCAGCTTGGCATACTACTTGGATAGTGAAGTATACTCAATGAGTATCAGGTATTTTTTACTAGATAGCATCAAATATCTCTATCCAAAAAATATTTTACATTAGCAATGAACTAAGAAAGTGTGCACTTTCAGAAATTTTCTGATTGAGGCTTGATGTGAACACCTACCTCAAAGCCAGCATTAACTAAGCTGTCTTCTAGGCATTATTGGTTTAACATAATTTGTGGAACATGTGTTATGATGTGAATCAACTAATGCACAACTGCATTGTGGTGAGTGAATCAAATTTTGTTGGACTATCCCTTTCGTTAATTGACTTGGGAGTAAGAATAATAATATGTCCATCTTTCCTAGTGTTAGCTTGACCGTATTTATATCTTTTGCAGCATAATTTGAATTTTCAGTATTTTCTTTAACAATAATAGAAAGGGTTGAGAAGACAAATGGTAGTGAGAGCACACTATTTTGGCAAAATTTATAAATTTGGTACCCCATAGAGTCGAAACTTTGAAGGATATTCTGAATTCAATGTTCTTCTCTCCCCTGTTTCACGTTTACAGATAAATTAACCTTTACCTGCTGTATGTTTATTTATTTTTATTTGTGATTGGTATGCTACCTTTTGCGCAGGTAGGATTCATTGCCTTGCCTATTGTATTGATCCATTAATGTGATGTAATTTTGGAGTTATGGTGAGAATTTTCTTCAATTCTGTTGACCTAGGAGTTGTATATTTCAGGTCCTTGCTCTGAGAGGATCTTATCATGGCGATACTTTGGGTGCTATGGAAGCACAGGCACCATCATCTTATACAGGCTTTCTCCAACAACCATGGTATGGGATGTTCTGTTGCAAGCAACATTACTACAATTCTTCAAAATCAATAAATGGTATTCTTGACTGTCTGTCATTCATTCTCTTGCAAGACGTGTAAATATCAGGTATTCATATGTAAGAATCAGACATCAATGCCATAAGGAGGGCATTGCGATTTCGTCACCTTGATCATTTATTTCTTGATTCCAGAGTTGTGTCTAGGAATGTAGCCAGATATTAGCATTATAGAAGAACCTTTTTTATCATCAAACCTTCTCAAGATTTATATGTTTTACCTGCAGGTATAATGGAAGAGGTTTTTTTCTTGATCCTCCCACAATCTTTTTGTACAACAATATGTGGAGCCTTTCGCTACCTAAAGGGTTGGATTCTCAGATTTTGGATCTTAAAAATTTGAGTAAGAGACCTTTCTTGTCACGGTTAACCTATTATATTCAGACCTGTTAATTCGGTTACAATTTCTGACATTTTGTTGGCACGTCTACAGCCTTTTGTTCCCGTAATAATGTTTTCGACAAGAGCAGGGACAAGTCAGATATTGCTGCTCTTTATTCAACACACATATCAGAACAGTTATCAAAGTTCCCTGAATCAAAAGGGTTAATTGGATCTTTGATTATTGAACCAGGCAAGGTTACTCATATCAGTAACTTTATTCCGATATCTGATTGGACGTGATTACTGTTTTTTATTTCTTTCTTTATCAGTCAGGTGATATATTTAATAATGTCTCTAATATTTGGATGGGCAATGAAATTTCACTTCACTCCTAAGATGAAATATAGTTAATTATGAATTCCCAAGCCCGACCTTCATTTACTGAATCTGCACCTGTTTTTGGTTTTTTTTTTTTTTTTTTGAGCATTGTCGCTTCTGAGCTACCACTTGTTTTTCATCTTTGAGATGTCTTACATTTGAAGTTCTTTTATTGGGCTTTCTTCTAGTCTATAAAGTGAGCACAGGTGTGTTTGGCGTCTATTGTTCGATGAGGCTGAGAATTATGACCTGAGTTAAATTTTAATAAATAAAGATTATATACCCTCAGTTGCTTTATGTCTTTCCCTTTTATATGTATTTAGCAATTTTTTCATTCTTTGTTTGGAATTGTTCTGTAGTCATACAAGCTGCCGGAGGAATGCATATGGTTGATCCACTTTTCCAGCGGATTCTTGTAAATGAGTGCCGGACTAGAAATATTCCCATTATCTTTGATGAGGTATTCACTGGTTTCTGGCGGCTAGGAACAGAGGTTCGACTCTCTTTGTTGCATTTCATGCTCTCCTTAAAAAGTTTCTATATGTTTTATTTAATTGATTGGGAAAGTTACTTTTGTTTTACAGTCCGCAGCAGAATTACTATGTTGTTTTCCAGATATAGCATGCTTCGGGAAGTTGCTGACTGGTGGGACCGTGCCCTTGGCTGCCACATTAGCTACAAATGCCGTATTTGACTCATTTATTGGAGACTCAAAGGTAATTTATTACGGTGTACTGCCTTGTATGAGAAGCACTTAATTTTATTTTGCAACTTGGTTTGATTGTATATGTTATTATACATTTGTTTAGCATTATTCACTCTAAAGACAAATCATGAATAAACAGTTAATATTGCCCAGTATAACAGCCTTCTGAAGATAAATTATAATTTTATTGGTTACATTGGAGGGAATCAAACCCTTGACCTATAACCCATTATCCACTCTCTCCGTCACCACTTGGGTTAACCCCCAAGTTTTTAGTGGAATTTGTTGTCTCTATTTTAATATTTTGGACCTACATTTGGTGTTATGCATAGACTAAGAAGCCCCTGCTGTTGATTTTATAGCTAAAGGCCCTTCTGCATGGACACTCATATTCTGCACATGCCATCGGGTGCACAGCAGCTGCTAAATCCATAAGATGGTTTAAGGATTCGCAGAGAAATCCTAATATCACGTCCAAAGGAAGCTTGCTTAGCGAGGTATGTGTAATATCTTTTACTTGTGCTTGTGTCGCACTTGTATGATACAAAATACAAAGGGGGTAACTTAATGTTTTTTCATTACTGGGATTTAGTTAATTATGAGACTAAAAAAGGGCTTTACATGAGTACGGTCATTAAATGATTCCATATTTTAACATGGTGGTACAGGATCCTAAATTATTAACTGCTGAAACTGTTTATATTAAATTTTACCAAAGCCCGCTGTCTTTGCTCCGTCATTGTGCGGTCTTTTATTAGCTTTGCTTCCTTTTATTTTCTTTAACCACATGGCATCACGTTCAAATGCTTGCAGTTATGGGATGAAAAGCTAGTGTACCAGATCTCTTCACATCCTGCAATTCAAAGAGTGGTTGTGTTGGGGACACTCTGTGCTGTAGAGCTTCGAGTAGAAGGCTCCAATGCTGGGTATGATCTTATTACTCCATCTTTTATATTTTATGTGGTGCCTACCATGCATATTTGTTATTTAGATTTTATTATACATGTTATACACTTGAAAAGTAGGAGTTGAAATATCATGTGCATGTATTGAGTCTTTGTTTATATACTGTTATCATCACCGGTACTTTTTTGACTAAAAACTGATAGCTGATAATTAGCAGGCGGTGTAATGTTTTTTTGAACGTTGTTTGAAATGTTTTGTTCTATGGATTTTGAATAGGTATGGGTCACTCTATGCAAGCTCTCTTCTGAAGAAGCTCCGGGAAGACGGAGTTTACATGAGGGCGCTGGGACATGTCATATATCTCATGGGCGGACCCTGCACGTCTCCTAAAGTCTGCAAGCTAGTACTCGTTAAAGTTTGCAGAAGACTCGAAGAACTTAGCCAAACGCAAAACAATTAAACTATCTGCAACTGAGAGTTCAAGTAATCTATCCACAACTTTCCGTTCTTGTTTGTTATTTACATTTATCTCATGTGTTCTCATGCCAATTGCTTTTATCCCTAATAATGCCTTCCCTCACCTGCTTATGAACAAGGGAGGGAATGTGACAGTTCATCTGCTTATATTTTGTATAATTTGATTGGATGGGGTAAAACAAATAAGGGAAGCAAAGTTGATGTATTCTATCTTATCTTTTTATATTGTTGTTTTAGGATAAATGAGTTCTGTACTACAAATTTTACAAGGACTACTTGTTTTCATCCTATATATTCATTCCTTATTATTTGTATATCACAGTTTGATATATGTGCAAACGTAACTCAATAAAATGAAACAAACATGAATTTGTGCACGAGTAATGTTGATTTGTCCGTCGGAAGAAGCAAGGAGTCAAGGGTTTTCCTTTTGCTTCCATTTTTTTCTTCTTGTATAGTAGCATTATAGTTTGTTCCTCCATAAAAACAATACTTGGCTGCTCATGGTTTTGAAGGAGTCTTCCTCAAAACACTTGTGACTGTTTCATGCTTATCATTAGAAACACTTCATGTTATAAATCACACTTTGAAGATCATGGTTGTTTGGTCAGTCAACTGTAGTAAATAATAAATGGTTTGTAATACTTTAATCGATTTCGTCTTTGTTTTTATATTGTTCGATGATTAAATGACTTGTTTTTATTGATTTTTGTTGAGATAATCTTTACATAGTGAATATAATAAAAACGATTCTAACAGTAAGTAGAAAGTTTTGTAAAACGACCACATTGTTTTGTGTAAGAAATTCTACACAGTTTGTGTAGAGCCAAGTTTTCTTCCCCATTATCTAGTTTCCCTTATCATCCTTCTCTTTCTGCCCCTACTCTTTGAACTAGGGCTGGGCACAGGCCGGGCCGGGCCCAAATTTGGAAGAACCAGACCTACTCGTTTTAAAATGTAACGGGCCGGTTCGGGACGGGTCCACGAGTGCAATAACTTTTTTTTTTTTTTTTTTTTTTTTTTTTTTTTTTTTTTATCCGGTTATATGCATACTAAGATTGAAGCAGAATGAGGTATGGTTCCGGTGCCGATCGAAAAGGAAGAAGCTTGTAGAACCAAAGAGCAGGTTACGTCCATCATGAAAATTTTATATTACAAATTCAACAAAAACCAGTAAATTACATGATTTCTAATGCATGGTCGATGAACTACTTAGGAAAGAAAAAATACCTGCAAAACCCTTATCACAAAATTTTCCCAAACCTCTCAAAAACCCAGAAAAACCCAAATTAAATTCCCCTACAAAACCATCAGGGAACCCAAATCAAAATCAATTTGGGTTTTTTGAAAATTGGAAGCATAATCACAGCGGGGGGCTCAACAACCTCAAGTTCTTAGTGTCGATGAACTCGTTTGACGAAGATGGTGGTCAGGTGGTGTGTGGCAGGGACCTCGATATACGGTGATGGTGATCAGGTGGTGGGTGAGAGGGACCTTGTTCAGGGTTGATGGTGATATGGCGGTACAGACTCAACCCGCAGATCCTTACGGTGATCCTTGTGGCAGTGAACAGTGGATAAACTTACATGCACACAATACGACGCCGGATTGAAAGCCGAGCCAACAAAATCAAAGCCGATCTGGCACAAAACGAAAGGAAAAGATCAAGTATCGGAGGTAAATCTACGCTTACCTCAAGCCTCAACCAGGAATTCGCAGCCATTGATTGAAACGCACCGTACGGAGACTACCGGAGAGAAAGATGCGATGAGGGCTTGGGAATGCGAAAACAGGGACGAAGGAAGGAGCAAAGAGACATGACCTGAGCCGCCACTTTTATCCCTCATTTATATAAGGATCTGGATCCCCTAACGGAGATGGGACAAAGAGTCAGTCCGGGAGAGAGAGATCGAGATGGATGAGAGTCCAAAGTCAAGATGTTTGAGAGTTGAGAGGAAGGAAGGTCAATCTGGAAAGGATCGAGTCTTCGAGAAACTGAGAAGACATTTGCAGATGACTAGGAGATCAAATCTCCATATATTGGATGGCGTATACGGTTCGGGCCAGGGGCCCGTTTTCTTAACAATTTATACCCGCCTTGCCCCGCAACTAACATGAACCCTATTCGGCCCACCCCGTTTCAGATTTTAAAACACTAGACCCGCCCCGTACCCGCGGGTCCAAGACCCGTTTGCCCACCCCTACTTTGTACTCCCACTAATATGTCCCAATGGTTGGACTAAGGATCTCATCCGGTTTTTCTTTATGAGGATCGTAGGAATTAATTTATGGAAAATGTTCCTCACTGGATCCTTTTCCTAGGGGATTTTAGGGATCCTGTGATCGTGACCGTTTATCGTATATCGTGCGGTCAGAAATCATTTCCAAATTTTAAAATTTTAAAATTAAATATAAATAGTACCTAACAAAAATTGGCCACACAATGTACGATGAACGGTCACAATCGTGGGATCCCTAAGATCTCCTAGGAAAAGGATTTGGCAAGAATCCTTTTCCTTAATTTATATTAGTCGTTTATCGTACATCGTACGGTCTGCTTTCGTTATGCATTGTTTGTGTTTAATTTTAAATAAAAAATGCAAAACGATTTTGTAGACATCGAAATTTCAGTAAAATAAATGTTAACCAATGTATTAAAATTACAACATTTATTTACTTCACCAACCTTACACACTTACTTCACCCACAACATCCACTTACTTCACCTACAACCTCACACACTTACTTCACCTACAACCTCCACTTACTTCACCTACAACCTCCACTTACTTCACCAACCTCACACACTTACTTCACCTACAACCTCCACTCACCGCACAAAAAAAATGAATGGTGGTGATTCATTCTCAAAACCTATAAATAGGCTTCTCCATCAAGAGGAATATCACCAAGAAAAACCAATTCACAAATACATTTCTCTACTCCCAAATTGGAAGAGAACACACACCAAAACCTTGAAGCCTTAAAGTTCTAAAGCTCTCAAGAAAATCCCGAAGGATCAAGAAAGCACTCTTCGTTCTTCGTCAAATCCTCCTTCAAGATCAAGCCCCAACGGCCCTTGAAGAACTCCCACCAACTCAAGATCAAGCCCCGACGGCCCCTTGAAGAAAGTGTTCATCATTCATCATCCGTTCATCCTAAGATCAAGCCCCAACGGCCCTTTGGATCAACAACCTCAACAAATCCACACATCCAATCGTTCTTCAAGATTAAGCCCAAAAGCCCTTGAAGATCCGCTCATCCATCAACCTTCAAGATCAAGCCCAAAAGCCCTTGAAGAAATCCACACAACCATTATTCAAGAAAGAACAAGCCCCGACGGCCCTTGAAGAAAGTGTTCATCCTAAGATCAAGCCCCAACGGCCCTTTGGATCAACAACCCCAACAAACCCATACACCCATTCTTCAAGATCAAGCCCAACGCCCCTTGAAGATCCGTTCATCAACTGTTCATCCTTAGATCAAGCCCTGACGACCCTTTGGATCAACAACTCATCCACAAACCTACACCCTACGAAGATAGAATCAGAGGACCAAATTTGAGAGAGATCGTAACCCCAAAATCATTAAACACAAAAAAAATATTATTTTGTACACGTATTCTTGTTTCTTGTTTCAAGGAATTTTTCATGTTCACAGATTTCTCACTGCATAATGACTAATGAACGAATAGGATGAACTGATGTTTAGGATTTTGAGGATTTAGATAGATTTTATTCCCAATGATTGGAGGGTGGGATGCTTATGTAGTTTGCCTACGGTGGGATTTTATATACCAATTATATCCCTCCAATCCCCTCGTAACTGGTGCCGCCCTATAAATATCTTTTGTCAATTATGCCAAAGAGAGACACCACAACAAATTCAAAAGGTTCTTTTTCTCTTTCATCTCTTTTTTCTTTTCTTTCACGTCTCTAATTTTCTCGTTGATAACTTTTCCTTTTTTTTTTTTGGAACAAACAATATTATATATGCTAAGGAGTGAGAGAATGAGGTGAGCCTTACAATTGGTCAGCCATAATAATGTGGTTCAAATTCACCTTTGACGAAAATCAAACCTAAGACATCTCACTTACAAGTGAAAAGAAATACAAAAAAAGAAAATTAAAGACATAATAATATATATTGTTGCAGTCCTATTAGATTAGGAATGTGATTGTGTAAATCTTAGTGTATCTAGAGATATCTTGGAATATTCTCTAGGTTAGGTATTATTCTATTAGAGTTGTAATCCTATTAGGATAAAGAATTAACCTGCCCTACTATTATAAATAAAGGCATAATGGGATGAGATAACACACACCACACAATTACACATTTCTCGTCTCTCTATGTGTCACATCCCCTTCTCTTTCTATGGCCTCCATAATTGTTCAGTAAATTATGCCTACAGTACGTCATCAGCACACTCTTGACGTTGCACTAAAGAGAGTTTGATCTTCAATCAGGGGAATATTACATTTTAATCATTCTTTTTATGATTAATTTATTATTTTATTGAATTGATCTACATGCTATTGATTCAATATAATTTTTTTTTTGTGTTGAATGTGATACAGCGCATTGAAGATGCAATTTCGGCTTTCTAAGAAGGATCTTCTACAAATTCAAAGGCTTTTGTTGTTTTCTGCCATTAGGTACGCTTAAAATAAAGAAAGATAATTGAAACAACCATGAAGCATGAAAACATTCTCCATGATGCATGAACCCCCTACATTTATATTTACCTTCCAATATATTTATATTGTATATGTTCATATATTTGTCAATATATATATATATACACACACACATATACGTTTTATGCATTACGTAATTTTTGCTATGTCAAAGAATCTAAATAAATTAAAAGCAATTAGGTTTTTTTTTTTTTTTTTCAAACCCTAGCAAAAATTAGGAAAAAGAAAAAAAAAAGTGAAAAGAAAAGGGAAAACTCGGCTGAGCCCCGTCTTGCAGCCGCGCTGCCAAGCCAAGCTGGTGCACTGGAGCCACGCGCTTGTGCTGAGTTGCCAAACCGGGCCGTGTTAGGTAGCCAAGCCGTGAGCTATCAAGCCACTGAGTTGCTACTCAGCCCAACCCGAGGTCACCTAAACGATAGCGTTCTCGAGTTGTTTCCTCCATTGATGTGGGCTGTCATCTTGCCTAGCCAACCCTCGATAACCACCACTATCAACGGCCTGAAGTCATATCCTTTGGTGAGAACCATCGTCCTCGACGACAATCAATAAGATTCCAGTAGAATCTTGGTTAAGTTTTGGGCAATTCCGATTAAACCCCATCGATTTTTTTTGGA